CAAGCACAGGGAACTATCATAATGGGGATGGCAACTACAGAAACACGTGTCGCAGACAACGAGCAAGGAGCACAGATCCACACAGGAGACTATATTTTGCTGCTCGTCTCTCCCACAATGCATCACACAAAGCAGCTGACTGCGGGCTTCCACTACATGGTTTGCATAAAAATGAATTTACCTCGCATATAATGAATTTTTGGTATAAAAAAGGTCATCGCATAAGAATGAATTTACATATACAAAACCCACATAAAATGAGGGAAACCTGTAGTTATGTACAGATACCTGACTAGCACACAAATGGCTAGGTGTGCACGCCAGTGCGGTTTTCCTGGAGCAAAACAGCACACATTTTTAATGTTGTACCAGAATTCCAAAATGTGCACTGTTATACACTGTTTCCCACATATTTTTTGCCCAGTTATATTTATTAAGTATTCACAGTATGGCTGGATCATCTTCCTTGGGACCTGTTCAGTTGCACTAGAAGTGTTATCAACATGAAGGAAGTTTATCTTGATCATATTTTGCAACAGATGCAATCACATCACAAATACAGGGTACCAGTTATACATTAAATTCAAATTTTAGCATTTAAGAAACTATTTTTCCTGTACTATTTTACTGGTCTCTCACAGCTCATCAACAACAGTACACTGTAATGGTGTACAATTCTAAAATAAATTATATGATTTATCACATTATAGTTCCTTTTGTTATATTTAAAATACATTCACTTCTTGAAGCTAGGAACATATGAATGTTTGATATGCAAATGTAATCGACTGTATTGAAAAAAGGATTTATTGTGAATTCTTCAGCACAGGCTAATAGTAGAAACTTGCTAAAATCCTTAATCAACTTAGCAGCTGTTTGAAGAAGTAATATTGAATTTTTCATTAACTAACATTTTATTGCCAGAGATCATACAATTAATGTCAGAGTTTGGCAGCTCTGTTGTTGAAGAGCTTGAATTAAGCCCCAAGTGACTTCATCTGTGTTGAAGCTAAATTTGAGAGGTGACACCTGTAGGTGGACATGTATGCTCAACCCCTGGAATGCTAATTACCTCACTTCATTATGCTTACTTTCTAATTGAACCATTCAAGATACAATTTTTTCCCAATTTCTTTTCTTTCCCCCTTTTGTCATTAAAAGCTGCTAACGGGTCTTCTCTTCTCTGGTTAGGACCACCAACAGGCACATTGTCTTCTGTGCAAAATTTATACTTCTTCAGCATGGCATACATCAACACGTAACTCAGATCCTGCAGGTAACCAAAGCCCTCTTTTTCTACAACAGAGGAAAGTGGATTTTGCTGACCTGCTGTAACTATAGTAATACAGCATCCAAAAGACCCTAGAATCTATATTGCAGGGGCCCACTGGCACTATGATAGCTTGGATAATCAGATTTAACTGGAAAACTAACCACTGGGTGCCTTTTCACCCACATATTTCCCCTCTTCTTTCCTATGAATCACTTTGTCCACTACTCTCTGTATGGCTCTTCTGACACAAAGAGCAACAAGTGACTGTGTGTCACTTGTATATAGCTGGGTAAACTGCTACTAGTCTTCTTGTGAAGAGAGAGAAGGAGAAAGTTGTCTTTTCTCATTTGTATCCATCACAATTTGCTCAAGCTCTTTTGAACCAAGAATTGTACAGCCTTTTCAACAGTTTCTCCCTTGTTTCAATCCATGGCAAGGGTTTGGTTTCCTGAATAAAAATCATGATTAAACACCCGTGCAAATAAGAAAGGAAGTTGAGCCTTTTCCTGAATGGTCTGCATCTCCTCCTTGCAAACCACACCTGTTACTGCTATATTGTTAAACACTTTTTAGATTAAATAAGTGGAAGGCTGTTAACATGCCTGAGATTGTTTCATCTTTCTTTTCATTTCAGAATAGCCATAAAACAATTTTAGCAGAACCACAAAAGGAAACACCATTTTGCCACCAATGGCACAGGATTTTCTTAGAAATAGTGGTGGTCTTGACTATGCCCCACTTTCCCTACTATACCTCCAAAATTCCCAAGATTTTGTTAGCTAGTATTTGTAATCTATAAAATAAACTGCAATTGACATGTTGTTACCATCTCCCTTAATGAACACTAGGCCCAGTACTCACAAATGGCAGTTTTGATAACATTGGAAGATTTGTCAGATCAGTTAAGAATAACAATTACTTCAAACAAATATCGGGTCTCATGAAGCATTAGTGAAACATGATTAATAACAAACCTTGGCTTCACAAAAATGCATTTTTTTCCAAGCCAGATCCTAATTTGTGTGGACACATGCCCATTATGCTTGAAATTGAAAAGAAACATCAGATTATCTGAGAAAGGTAGTATGCTGCCCAGAGGACTTTGACAATTGCATCAGAGACAAGCAGGCCAGCATAAATAGAAATTTATGAATTTTTTAGGACCACCCTCTGGATTTTAGTCACATGAGACTCTGAGATAATGTACTTGGGTTTTTTGGATATGCATTATTGAAACAGTCTAATTGTTAAAAACATTACTGTCCCTCAAAGAATCCCATCTGACTCTGCCTCACTTAAACTAAGGTTTGATTCATTAGTTTTTTATAGTGGAAAATTTTCTAATCACTTTTGGAACCAATGGGACACTGCGATATGCTCTATAACATGCAGAAATACTGACGAAAAGGAAGCATCTATAAACACAGTGTCATGCTGCCACACTGCAGTTCTGGCTTAGAAGAGCAGCTGTCAAAAGGTACTTCACTTTATTAGGGGTGCACTGATAGAGATTTATTGGGCTGATACAGATAGCTGATACGAATCTGATTGCTGATATGCAGCCTGGCAGCATGGACAGCAGCGTCTGGCTGGTAAGTCTGTTGTGGGGGAAGGGGTGAGGGGGTGGCAGATCGAGGCCCTCGTGATGAGCGAGGGAGTGGGGCTAGGGCAGGGGCTGGCCAGCGAGGGTGGAGCATGGGATGGAGCCATGGCTCATCCAGGGGGGCACAGGGATGGCTCCTGCCATTACACGCACCCCAGAAAAGCATGGGGGGCGTGTGCTCCCAGATCAATGAGTGGGTCAAGGGTGGGCTGCCGCTGTGAGCTGGGGCTGAGGCTGGGGGCAGGTTCTTTCCAGTGTGGGGGATGGGCCAGTGCTGCACTTGGGCTGGGTGGTGGCGGTACTGGGAGGGAGTTATGGAGAGGGGCTACAGCGAAATTTGGGATGGCCACAGTCCCCCCATAGTCCCACTCTTAGCGCTGCCTCCCACCTTAGGCATAGCCCCGGTCCAACCCCCCACTAGGAACTACTTGGCACAGCCCTGGCCCCAGCCCGCCCTCGCCCCACTTGCACGTCTGGGCTTACACGCCCCCCGCTGTCCTGGGGTCCACACAGCAGTGGGA